TAAACTTTATTATAGGTAAGTACATATAGAGAAAAACATAGTTTGTATAGGGTTTGGTATTATCTATAATTTCAGGCATTCGCTGTGGGTCTTGGAACATATCCCCCTCAGATAAAAGAAAACTATGCTGTTTCTATTTAAGTTCATCAATGATTTTTCTCAACTTTTCTTTGAATAAAAATAAAATAATTTAAAAAGTAAAGATAAATTTATTGTAATACCTGTTAAATCTTTCAGGTAATTTTTGTTGGATGTTAAAATGATACCAAGTCTAATGGCAGAATTCATTTTTATTGTTTTAGTCCTGCCCATGATAGAGACAATTGAGAACATTTATCAAGGTTTGGGGCAATACCCTTTGAGATATCTTGACTATTTAGCATAACCAAGTTTGGTTGCAGGATTCTCCATTAATAGTTATCTTTATGACCAGATATGTGTCCTCATAAAAATTTAGGAAAAATTCCCAGTCTGCAGACTTCATCGGCATAGCAAGTTATTACTGTGTAAAGCTCTATAGCATTTCAGTTCATTTAATAAAAGAACGTACATTCATGTTTAGTAATTTTCATGATAGCAGCATGTCCTTACAATACTATATTCAGGAAACCAATGGACACACCTATGAAATAGATACAAATTATAATAAAAACCTCTGCAATATGCACAGGGGGTGTCCTGCAGCAGCACCAGATCTATAAAACAAGGAGTTCTTAATAGTACATTTTACTATATATCCTTGTCTTGTATTAAAGCTTTATCATGGCCCAGGCCGGTGTGCTCAGTGGTTAGAGCGTCAACCTGTGCACCAAAGGATTTGGGGTTCGATTCCCGGTCAACAGCACATATCTGGGTTGTAGGTTCAATCCCTGGCCCCGGCCAGGGCACGTTCTGGAGGCAACCAATCAATGTATCTCTCTCATATCAATGTTTCTCTCTTTTTCTCCTCCCTCCATCCCTTCCACTCTCTCTAAAATGCAATGGAAAAAATATCCTTGGCTGATGATTAACAACATCAAAAACTTTATCATAAACTTTTTCAAATTAAAATGATCAAGAATTCTTGAAGAATAGTAACTATGGCCCTGGCCGGTGTGGCTCAGTTGGTTGGAGTGTCATCCTATACACCAGGAGGGGGCAGGTTCAATTCCAGGTCAGGGCACATGCCTAGGTTGCCGGTTTGATACCATTCGATGTGCCTGCAGGAGGCAACCAATCAGTGCTTCTCTCTCACATCGATGTTTCTCTCTCTCTCCTTTCCTCTCTTTGAAATTAAAAAAATAAAAAAGAATAGTAACTATGTTTCATGAGTCTCCTTTTCTTCCTTTTGAGGAAACACAGTAAGATTTAACATGACTGGCATCAATAGCATACCGTAACTTGACCCACCCAATAACGTGGTCACTAACAGCCAGCTTTGATAAAATAACACAAGCAAGGGACTACTCGCCTCATGAAATGAATCCTTAGCCCTGAGCTGAAGAAGTTGCTTCTGGTGATCTCGGCACTTCTGTTTGATGAATGAAACATTATACAGGGCTTGTGTTCTTATAGAATAGTCTACATTGCCAGTATAGATAAGAATTGATTCAATGAGACTGAGTCTAGATACAAAGATTACAGTAATTATTTTGTAATCTATATATAATTGCTATAAATCTAGAGTGTCAAATAGACTACCGGGGTTGGAAATATTAGGGCATCTATACATAAAATCAATGCACCTTTCTAACGGAGCATTCATTTTCCAGGATCACTACGCCTGCTCACATTTGTGTAGTGGTTCATACATTTCAAAGACCATGAAAGTTATTTCTCTTCACAAAAATTATGTGAGCTCGCTAAGTCAGTACAATTGCCCCATTTTTCAAATGATAAGGATGAATCAGAGAAATGCTTTACCTGGAATCTGAATGTCTTCTTCCAGTCCTTTCCCCTGGCCTTCCATCATCCTACCTGTAAAGGCCCATTTCTATAAAATGGTAAACTTGATGGGTGTGTTGGTTAACAAAACTATCATAATAGCTTTTATTCTATGTAGTGTTCCTAAAGTAAAAACGGATTACATCTGTGTCAGAAACTGGCTCTGAAAACACACACATACACAGAACCTAAGATTTTACTAACAGGTAAGCAGCCCAAAGAAGTATACCAGCCTAAATCCGTACAAGAGCTTCCTAAACAATACTCTGTAATTCTGGGCTTCTTTACTGCTATCCCACTGAAAGCAGATTTTAATAGTAATCTCCCTAGCAAATTGAAATTGGATTTAAGTGCTTGAGCCTCGGTGTCTGAAAAAGATAAAAGCACTGTTTTTGAGATTAGAGGCAGAAGAGGTCAGCCTCCTGCATCTCTTTACTCCTGACATGAGCCTGACTTCTGGTTTCCCTATTTTAGGCTAAGCTCCAGTGAAGCCAAGTCACGCACTGCGAGGGAAGCCTGTGTGCGTATCGCAATGGTATTAGTCACTGCTGACACAACCATCACTGCTGTGCTTCCTAGTCTTTCTGTCACTCTTTTGCGGATGCCATTATCAAAAATAGTGCTGGCACAGCCCTAAAGTCACTTAATACCCTCTTTTATTTATATGGCTAACTTATTCTTAAAATTTTGTTTGTAAAGAAGATATTAATGATGTATGGAGGAGCAACTTATTTAGAGTTTTGGCTTATAGGCTTTATAAACCTAGTCTACTGAGGTACTCCACAAACTAAAGAAAGCAAGCTACTAAAAACGCAAAAGCAATCAAAGGTCAGAAGCTTTTATAATCTTTACAATCTGAACATAACCAGACGTCATAAGAAGACCTGTTCTTCCTCCTTATTGCCTAATTAATCGCGGTGAATTTTAATCTTTCATTTCTTAGTTTGATAGAGTGAGTCTTCTGTGTCCCTGAACTTGTGCCATCATTAGTTACAATTTCTTAATTACAAAATGTGGATTTACAAAAAATAGAATCTTGTATTTTCCCGCCCCATGGTTTTTATACTTCCAGTACCTGCTCTGTATTTTCTTAAGAACAAAGTCTCAGATGCGCTCATTCTCAGTGTCGCTTACAAAGACGTTCTCCAGAAGGCCTATGTTTATAACTTCACTGATAAAAATGATGAAGGAATATAAAAGATTATTCAAAGAAAAAATGCAGTATAAGGACATTGAAACTTAGGATATATTGCCATGATGAAGCCATCGAAAGCTGCCAGTTTTCACCCCATGTATAATTCTTTTGATGACTTTTTAATCCAAGGGGTATTTCTTATAATGATGAATAGAAAGGATTTTATCATAAGCAGCTGAACGAGCTGGGGGAAAAAAAAAACTTACCTATACGAGTAACATGTCATTTGTAATAAGGACATGTTTTAATATTAAAACATAATGAAATTATAACTCAGTAGTAATCCATGGAATAATGAAAATTAAATTTTAAAGAAAGTTGGCAGAAAGTCATCTAAAAACCAAAAGATACTTTTGGAAATGATTCAATATCCTTAAACATTTAAGTTTCCATTTTACATCTGTGAAAGCATACTTAAATAATTAATATTGCATAGTATTGGTGATCTTTCTTCAAAGTTCTTTAAAGGCATTTTTAGTTAATTTCAATACCATGATAAAACAATTCAAGTAAGATATTTAAAACTGTATCATATAGACACACATAGCTATATACATAAAGAGAAGTAAAATTATCTCATATTTTGTGCAAATAAACCATGTTGCCTTTATAAAATATAGAAAAAAAATAGCCCTAACGTAAGTCAAACATATCAATATAGTATATACCATTGTAACATTTTTTCCATGAGATGTGTCAGATCACATGTTTTACTCAGCAGGACCTGCTTGAATTTATGATAGAGAAGTTATATCATGACTTATGGACATCTTCATATTTCACCTTGGTTTAAATATTCTTCAAATCATACTTATAATCCTGACAGATAACTAGAAAATTACTTACTGTAAATAATTTACACATCAAAAAGAGTAGTATGAAATAAAATAAAAGTGCAGGCAAAAGTAGGTTTACAGTTGTTTGTATGGAAAAATATATAATACAAGAATAAAAAATTATACAAGATAAACTCTGTGTTTCATGTACTCACAACTGTAAACCTACTTTTTCCCACCCTGTATATTATCACCAATGTTATTTCACAAGTAAAACTGGACCTTCTGCAACTTATACATAATAACACTTAAAAAACTGAGTTCCAAAACAGCATACATCCTGGGTTCTGTTTAATAATAACACAGTCACAGTGATTAATGGAACTTATACAAAAATGAAGAGTTTACATTGAAAGAGATATAAAAATCATACCCTCCCCCCACTTTTTTTTCTAGGATGCTCTAGAACATCACTGCTGAAGGGACAATGACTCCTACTTCGTGTTCAGATATGCAGGTAAGTCCCTAGAGTGTGGAGTAATGCGCACAACCTTTCATACGCTTAATCGCCTCTTCTTAAGTCACTTATTCCTAAAGTACATCTATAACAATAATGCATCAACAATTTTAGCTTATTTCTGTGTTTTACCACATTGAAGAAATATTAATTTCTCATTTTTCTATACATTAAAATGTTCTAGACACTTAAAATACTACTTATTCATTACCATTACATTCTCTATTTGAGTAGTTTGTCTTTGTCATAAAATACTGCACTAAACCTAAAACATTTCTATTTAGAAAAGTTGTAGCATTTTGAAATCAACATATAACCAATCAAGCTCTGTTTAGTTCTAATAATTAAAACAGAACACTTTGGAAATACTGTTTTAATGTACAAATTAAAATTACAAGTTTAAAATTACAAAATACAAATTTAAAATTCTGGGTACTTTACTGGGCATCTTTCTTGGTCATCTAATTTTTTCCATGCATCAGTAGGCATTTTAAGTTACCTTTAATGATTTTAAAAAAAAAAAAAAATCCCAGTGAAACACCACAGCAATCTTCCACTGGGAGCTGTAAACAATGAAAAGCACACTTACCATGTTCCAGCCCGGGTAGAGGTAGTCTGTACCAACAAATTCAAAGTAGTGAGCAAAGCCTTCCTTCAGCCACACGTCTTCCCACCAAACTGGAGTCACGAGGTCACCAAACCACTGCATTGACAGAATGAATGGGTCTCAGATAAAATCAAATCTATCTGAGAATTATTTTATCTAAAATTAAATGCATTAAAACACTATGATAATCATAAGTGCAATTCATTCTTCAGTTGATTTGGGATGGTCAAATGGGTCATGGTAAGACTACTGATTGATTCAAAACTTGGATAACACAAGTATTTTATAAAACGCATTCAGAGGAGAAAGAAAAGAAAATAATCCAAGAACACTCCCACCCACACACAAAATTTAACCCGCGTAAGAAAGGACTCAGGAGAAAAGAACTGATCGCAATTGCCTTCAAGACCTAGAATGTAGAAGAGGAAAGGCCCTGTGTCTGTCTGTGGTCCTACAAGGTACAAATCAAAACTAATGGATGAAAATTAGGGTTGGTAGATATCTTCTGAAAATGCAGGAGACCCTCCACCAGACTGAGATGGCCAAAGCTGGAAAACACTGCCTGGAGAGGTAGTGACAGATGTCGCAGGAGGTACTGAAGCATCGCCTTCCAGGGGCAGAGGCACCTCAGAGAAAACATGGGCTGACTGAAGGAACCAAGGCCCTTTAAGATGCTCCACACCGGACTCTCCATGATTCTGATAATGAGAGTTTAGGCCAAAGAAATAGCTAAGATCCTTTCAATAAAAAATAAGGTGGTAATTTTTCATTGGTGTCTTGATTAGATCATGATGCCTTACTCTGAAACCATTATTTTAGTTCAGCAAAAGTTTAAAAAAATTCTTCACTTAAAAAAAATTCCAGGATCCATCCTAAAGACTTGAGATCCAATGATGAAAAGTCAGAGAGTGTCTCTTCTCATCAGCTGACACTTTATTGTGGAGGCGGGGGGATGAGGTGAGATGGAAAATAAAAAATAAGTAAGCAAATGAACCACTCAGATTCAAATCCTAATTAAGTGCAATAGGAACAGGGGAGGAATTGTCTTTGGTGGCAAAAGCAAAACCCGTCTTTCTAAGCAGGTGACATTTCAGCTCAGACTTTAATGATAAGGGGGAGCCAGCTACGAGAAGGCCTCGGGCAACAGGCTGCCATGCAGATCCGAGCGACCCTGAATGCGAATGCTCTAAGCGCGGACGAGATATTTAAGGAGAAGGGAATGGTGGACAAGTGTCAAATCATGGACAGCTTCAGGGGCCACAGTAAAGAGTTGGGTGACTGTTTCAGTATTAAAACTACGTGGAATCTAATGAACAAAATGAACTGAAGAAGAAAATGGAAACAGAGGCATGGCTGCATGGAACAGACTGGCAGCTGTCAGAGGGGCGCACTGGATGAGAGAATGTAAAGAGATGAGCCAAAGAACATACACAACACAGCCCGTGGACACACAACGGGGTGGCGAAAGCCAGAGGGAGGGGAAGGCGGGATGGGGGATGGGGACATCTGTAAGTGTCAACAATAAAAATAAAGTTCAAAGATAAATAAATAATCTGACATTAATTGACACACACAAAAATAAAGTATCACTCAAGAGGATCTCTAACTGAAACACAAACAAGAGATGACTCTGCATATGTTGATGACCACACAATAAATGATATCTATTCACGATCAAAGTGCATGTTTCTGCTTTAAATTGAAAGCCTGCCTTAAGAGTTGTGACAAAACGCCACAGAAAGAGTTCTAATCAGAAGAGGCATGTGGTCTGCATTCATGGGAGGAGCAGCGGGCGCAAGAGCAGGACAGAAAGTAGGGGAAGTAGTTAGAACATGCACTTCAGGGGCACTGGAGGTTTTTCAATAAAAAGGATAGTGCATTAGAGACAGCAAAGGGAGATTGGGGAGGGGGGGGGAAGCAAGAGAACATTTACTATTCCTCCATCCAGGCCCTCAGATACTCAAGAATTGAGGACAAAGCCTTGGGGGCCAGCGGGGACCACCTAATAGGCTGAAGGGGAGGGAACCCTCAGATGAGAAGATGAAGCTGCAGGAAATTTGCTTCAGCAGCAGTGGAGGCAAGTCATAGTCACTGCAGTTTTACTGAGCATGTGCTATGTGACTACCAGTATTCTAAGTGCTTTTCTGGGGAAAACTTCTTTTGTCCTCTCAACAATCCTAAATGTGGATACAATTATTAACCCCATGTTACACAGGAAACCAAGACACAGAAGAGTTAAGAAATGTGCGGCTACTGAGTGCTGTGGCTGAGATGGCAGGTTCTTACATTCAGAAGTCAGAGTGCCAAGGTTTGGGGTCTGTCAGAGAGGGTTGGAGAGCGACCTCACTGAGAGAGGGGTAGACTAGTCTGAAGATGAGACCCCGAGGACAAAGGGGACCTTCGAGGTTGTGATGAAGGTAAGTGTGCTCAAGGATGCCATTTGCCCTGACAGACCAGAAGAAGGCTCCTGATGAGTGCAAACCAAGCAGCTGCTCTTTCCCGCAGCTTCCTACGGGCAGGGAGGAGGCACAGCGAGTCCCCCCCTCGCTGCACTGGGATCCCTTTCCTGGGCCGCGTGGAGGGGAAGAGCACGTTCATCTCAACGAGACAGAGCGTGGATAGCTTTTGTCCCACTGCTCCTGGGTGGGGGAAACGCTCACATTTATGCGTTTCTGGGATGCTTTGCTGTGCCTTATTTGGAGATAATAATCACTTACCATGATTAATTAAGCACTTACTACCTATCAAGTTCTGTGCTGAGCACTTGACATATATCATTCCTTCAATAAACACAACAATCTTACGATATAAAAGAAAAAGAACTGTGACGATAAATAGGTGGGAAGAGAGGGTAACACAGAAAATAATTTGGTAATGACAGTGAAAATTGTTCTATGTTTCTCCCAGCAGCTGGTTCTTTCCCTTCTAGTAAATAGCCTACCAAGCTATAACAAGAAAGCAACTTAAAATAGAGAACAAATGAAATCAGTTCTAGGAACAATGATAACATGACCAATGTACTCTTATTTCAACAGAACTGTCCATGGAACCTGTTTCTAGGAATGTCCAAAGAGAAAACTGCTTTTGCCTCAAAAAATAGTATTTTTAGCTAGAAACCCCTCTCATTTAGTGCAGTGGAGGAGTCCTGGTTATCTCTGCAATGGATCCTTACAGTCTCTGAGGCAAGGAACACATGTCCAAGCTGGCCAGCCTGACAGGTACAAACATCTTACAGGTTCACTGCAAAAGGCTGACATTTAGGTAAATGGTCGTAGGGCTTGGACCAATTTATCATTAAGTCAGCATTCATGTATTAGCATTTAGCAGTTCACCTTCTTTAACTGACAGCATTTTCCACATAAGTTTAGCTAGCTTTTAAAAAAGGGTTTTGGGCTTATAACAAACTGAAGTCATAAGTATGAGATTTCTGGTGTTGTCACTCAAGAATTATCCATAGTTACCATTAAGCAGAAGAGGTATAGTATGAACGTTTATTTTCAGGGTTTTTTCTCTCACTAGAATCAAGAGTCAAATAAGCATTGCAAAACCTCTGTAATGCCTTCCACTCATTGTAAGAAAGTGCATAAAATCAAAATGAAATTAATTTTATCTTAGCTTCACTACAAAGTTGGCTAATTTACATATGAATTTCTACACATGCCAAGACAAAAAATATCAATCATTTGAGAACAAAGAGTCTATGGCTGAGTTAGTGAAAGACTTCCTAAGTGTCTGTGTGATGGGAAAACGGGAATAACAAATTGATTTCAGCAAGAACAAATTTTGACACGTACACAAAACTCAGCTGCATCTTGCAGCAATGCAATAAATCATCGCCATCGCTGAACTTACCATGTATGCACACCAATAATCACAAGAAAATAAAGTGAGGTTGACAAGGAAGAGTGAATGGAGAGGGTCTCCAAAGAGGCTGCCGGGTGGCAGTGCCATCCCACTCCTCCACTAAACTAAATGACAGTTGCTTACTCACTATGATCAGTGTGTTTGCTTTTGTTTACGCTGTCACTTGAGAAAAACAACGTATCTTCCAGAAAGAATGACACAGTGCTCCATCTATAATTAAAACTTAATTGGGAGGATAATAACTTAGCTCCTAATTTAAGTATCTGAAATCATTCTACATTCTCAACAGTTTGCAGTTATACTTACACCTGATACTTTTTTCTCATACCTGGTGACATATCTCATGAACAATGACCATGGTGACATCCAGCAAATAAGAAATAGATGACACACTGGGATCCAGCAGTATTCTCTGTTCCACAAAAATACTTAGTCCCCAGTTCTCCATAGCAGCATACGGATGCTTAGGCACAGCTAAAAGATCTAGAAATAGAATAAAACAATTCCAAAGGCTTTAACAAACATACCAGATTCTAAAGTCATATCCTAAAAAAGTCAAGAAATCCTAATTAAAAGGAATACTTGCTTTTCCTTAGTAATTTTTTTCCCCTAAATTAAACTCCCTGACACTTCTGCATGACAGCAGACATATAGGCTATCACCGTACACTCTGGCCATGTCCATTCATCACAGTTCATTTTCAGACCCAATGCAGTCGGAGGCTGGACGTATCAGCACCATTATTGATGGGCCCATCCTGATAAGTTTCAAAAAGTCAAGGAAACCGAATGCAGCAGGAATCTACAGTCAGAAGACATAGTGCCTTCTACTGAGAATATATTCCGTTCAATGCAGTGAATACCATACTTACTTTTATCTCAATATTTTTCAAAAGAAAGCATGTTCTATCTGATTAAAAATGGACGTCATTTTTCTAAATTCTTAAATTCTAATTTATTTTGTGAGTCCGGTTAAAAATAAAAATGTTACATGCAAATATAGAGAAAACTATGATGATGAATGTAGTGGCAAAAGGACTGTGGAGGGAACAGGGGGGCTTTGGTTCTGGTCTCGCCTTTACCATTAACTAGAGATATGACATGGGTAAATCACTTAATTTCTCGAGACCACAATTCCCTCATCTATAAAACAAGGTTATTGGCCTTCATTATCTCGAAAATCCCTTCCAGCTCCAAAATCTATGATTAGATGATTCTAAGATTTGTGTTTATTTTGAAAGTTCACAGAAGTATTTTCAACTTCCAGTTAGGGTATCAATAAGTTCATGCTTTGATGTACTCCCTCCGCTCCAAACATGTAGTGATGATACATAAAATATTAAAAGGGAAAACTAAAAAATATCTGCAGGCTTGAAAATGAACCTCTCCATGGGCCAGAAATGGTACAAAAATGCAAAGTAACGATTGGTTGTGAAGGCCCAGGCCCGCTGGGCTCTGGCTCCAGGCGCAGGCAGTGGCAGCTGGGAATTGGTTCCGGCGGGATGTGCCACAGCCAAGGAGACTTAAAGCCAAGCTGAGTGCTGGGTGCCAGGGGCTGAGGTAGGACATGCCCGCTCAGGAGAAGAGCTGCAAGTAGCTGGTGCTGGTTGCTTCCTGAGAACGGCAGCAAGTGGAGAAGTAGGGACTCAAACCCAGGCAGCCTGGCTCAGTGCCTTGTTCTTAATCACAATGGGATCATGTTTATAGTCTCTGCTCCAGAAGTTACACTTCCCAATAAAAACAAACCCTGGAGTCACTCCCCAGGATGCCAAGGGAAAAAAGGGTATAAGAATGTTTACTGCAGTATTTCTGTAACAGCGGAAATGGAAAACTAAATGCCATTCATGAAGATAACAAGTAAGGAAACTGTGAAATAGATAAAGGAATGTATCCAGCAAGTGACATGAATCATCTCACCACCAGATGCTAGCACTACATGTGTGAACATGGGTAATCTGAAAAACAAAATGTTGAGGGAACAATTAAGATGTAAAATGACCCTTACCATATACTACTTAACAACAAGCAGAATAATACCATGTGTTACAAGTGAATATTCACGCATGCACACACATCCCAAGACAGTCGGTAGTGGTATAGTGCACATACAATCGCACACATGTTCTAATGATAAATACCAAATTCAGAGTCATGATGCTTCAGGAATGAAAGAAGGAGAAAAGGAAGAGGTTCCTGGACCCAGTTTCAACTTGGAAGCGGGAAAGGGGTTGGCCACATCACCAACAAGCAATTCCTGGACGCCAGCTGGGTGTGGGAGAATTCAACTCGATGTTGACACTGTCTACCCATCTGCCCGAGGATAGACGCAGACTCCACAGGTCAAGGGCTTAGTCCTACAAGACTTCCCCCCAACACACACTCTACAACTTCAGATGCCAGTCACAAACCCAGGTTGTTAACTGTACTTCTGACAGACGCTATAAATCAGAGGTTCCCATGACCGTCCCTCGGGTGGGTTTGATTAATTTGCTAGAGTGGCTCACAGAACTCAGAGAAACATTTAACTTACTAGATCACCAGTTTGTTACAAAAGAATATAACTCAGGAACCGCCAAGTAGAGGAGAAGAGTAGGGCAAGGTAAGGGAAAGGCACAGAGCTTCCATGCATTCTCCAGGCCCACCACACTCCCAAAGCTCCAGGTATTTACCTGCCCAGAAGCTCTCCGAACCTTGTCTTTTGGGGCTTCTGGAGGCTTCATTACATAGGCATGATTGATTAAATCACTGGCCATTGACAATTTCCAACTTCTCTCCTCCCAGGAGGTCGGGGAACCGGGCAGAAAGTTCTAACCCCCAACGAAAAGGCTGGTTTCCCTGGCAACCAGCCCCATCCATAAGTGAATTCAAAAGTCACTTCATTAACTTAACAAAAGACAACTTTATTGCTGTAATGGCTTAGAAATTTACAAGGGTTCTGAAAGCTGTGAGCCAGGAACCATGAAGGAATTATATATGAGAAACACTTATTTGGTCTTCCATAAGTTATAAATCACAGTATCACACACAAGGGATTTCCAATGTGTCTTCAATATTAACTTTTTGAAACAGGTAATGGGTACATGCATATTATTTATAATATTATTAATTCTTTTCTGTAGGCCTTAAATATTTCATGATAGTAAAAAGAATAAAATCATCAACAGTCTTAGAATATGGTTGATTTTATTTATGACTTCAACAACATCTTCTCAGTATTTGCTGTGTTCTTAAGCCTGAAATGTATTTTAAAATAAATCAGGGGTGGCCCCTGTATCCATAACATTTTAAACAAAGAATGAGGACATGACAGTTTAACACAAGAAATAAAGAAGGAGCCCGGCCGGGTGTGGCTCAGCGGTTGAGCATTGACCTAGGATCCAGGCGATCGGGGTTCGATTCCTGATCAGGGCACATGCCCGGGTTGCGGGCTCCATCCCCAGTAGGGGGAGTGCAGGAGGCAGGCAGTTAATGACTCTCTGATCAATGATGTTTCTATCTCTCTCCTTCTCCTTTCCTCTCTCTGAAATCAATAAAGATATATTTAAAGAAAAAAAAAAGGAATAAAAAGTGCTGGAAGAGAGAAAACAAATCTGGTTGGAGAAGTTCTTGAAAGAGATAGTATTGAGTTGGACCTGAAAATAAGATTTCAACAGGTAGAGAGAGGTACTATATGTATTTACTTACACAAGTATTTATTGAGCATCTCCTTTGCTCAATATAAGCCTAGTTCTGTACTTCAAGCTCCTTGCCCCATTCTCTCGTGGCACTTCTATGCATATGTGGGTGTGTGTAGGAGGAGGTCAATTAACAAGTAATAAATGAAAGAAATTTAGTAAATGAAAAATGCTACAAAGAAAATATAACACAGTAAGATAGTGATCAATGGGTGGGGTAAGGTGGGTATAGCGTGGCCAAGAAAGGCCTCTCTAAGATAGTCACGTTGCACCTAAGATGGAATAAGTTTAGAGGCCAGCTGTCTGAAGATACGTGGAAGTGTTTTCTAAGAGGGGACAGCAAATGCAAAAGCCCTAAGGTGGAAATGACACATGCGGAAAGGTCAGTGAGGCTGATGTATATGATGGAGAAGAATATAGGTCCAACAATTAGTACAAATTGCAGGTACACAAACAGACATTCTTCCATTTAAGACTGTAAGTGGAAACCTTCCTTAAATATGAACTAGATGACAGAACAATATTGTGTCAACTCTGCCTGCCACCAGCAGATGGCAACAGCAGTAACATCTGGTGTTATTCTCTTGCAGGAACTTGTTGGCATAGGAACGATCCTTTGGAACCAAGCCTGTTGCAAGACAGACACTTCTGTGCCGGAGTTCTCTGAGAGCCCAGAGTGGTCAGGTCCCCAAGACTAAGTGAGCCAATCTGACCACACACGGGGACTTGGATTGGCTCAAATGGCACAAAAAGAAGACTCCAGACGTGGGCCAGATGAGTCTGGAAGTTTGGAATAAAGAGGAAAGTACACTCAGGGAGCAGTCATCAAACAGCAAAAGCTTGACCAGCAGCATAAGCAGGTATGGTGAAGGGCAGTTAAAGGTCAGTGCCGAAAAGCCAGCCAGTGGGGACCTACGCAGACCGCTGGTTTTGTACTGGTTTCCAGAGGTCTGAGGGCATGGAAGTCAGGCCTGGGTAACAAGACAAGGACTCTTCAGCAAATGCAGTCACATTCAGATAAAGCGACCGAGGGCGAGTTGAAGGACTGGGTGGAAAAGGTAAAGGGATTAAAAAGTACAAATTAGTAGCTACAAAATAGTCACAGGGATGTAAAGAACACCATAGGGAATATAGTCAATAATATTGTAATAACTAAGTATAGTGCCGTACAGGTACTGGAAATATCAGGGGGATCACTCTGGAAAGTATATGATTATCTAACCACTATGCTGTACTCCTGAAATTAATACAAAACAATACTGAATGTAAACTGTAATTTAAAAAGAAAGAAAAAAGATAAAGCAATTGAGAACAGAGTAAAATACAGAGAGCTCAGTAATAGGAGGTAGCTTCTCAGACACAGACAAGAGTTAAAGTAGATACAGAGAACCATACTATGGATGGCAGTAGGAAAAAAAAAAAAGAGAAATTAAAATAAATTAGATTATGCTACTACACACTTAATAACCTTCTAACAAAGCACTGAAGAAACTTGGATTTATTCTAACTACTACTGAGAGAGATTTTAACTGTGCCTCTCTACTCTACACCTTCACAACTTAAGGAATCTCGTGATAGATTTATACTTTAAGAATACCTGTATGAAGTATATATCCATATAGAGACGTGTACACAATGTTCAAAACAAGTTTACTCCGAGTAGCCAAAAACTGGAAATAAATCAAATGTTCATCAACAGGTGAAAGGATAAAGTGTAGTATGTCCATATAACAAAATACAATTCAGCAATAAAGAGAAATGAACTCTTGATACATGCAGCAACATAGGAAGAAGAATCCCAAAAAGTTAT